CTTTCTTTTCTGCACTTTCTATTTTTTCTTTTTATTCTTTTATTTTTTTTAGTTATCTTTTCAATTGTAATTTTTAATAAAATTACTATTTAAAAAAATGAAAAGCCTACAGCTGTACAAGAATCTAAGACGTACCTACCTCATCTGAAAATAGAGACTAAAAATCCAGAGAGAAGAATTAAAAAAAGAAAATTTACCTGATGTCTGACAGCCTATAGCAGAGGCACCAGGCATAGCCTCAGAGATGTTACCACTGAAATGTCTCTTTCTATGGTCTCTGTCCACTTCACTGCATATGGCGGCAGTGAGCCAAGTAGTCCTAAAGGATGAAAACAGCACTTTTAGGATAGGCCTTGCGTTGGACTGGAAACCCATGCAAGATGGCACTGCAGTGATGCAGAATACTTACACCACACAGTAAAGAATCTTGTTGTATATTGGACTAGCTGAAAAATATACATTTGTACTATTTTTCACTTCTTTTCCAAACAGTTCATTATTCACACACATGCACACTTGATTTAATTTCTGGAACTGGCTGGAAAATTTCTTAGAATGCTGGAAATTCCTAGATAAACAGCTACATCGTATTCCGTCCATTGCTTGGTCCTCCTTGTTATGCCTACCAGGTTTAATCTTCCATATTCCTAAAACCATCAGCACTCTTAGAAGACAAAGGAACATCTGCACATTACTATGCTTATCTCACAATGGTAAAAGTAGTACAGAAATCAGTCATCAAAAAGGAATTTTTCAAAGGCTATTCATGAAAATGTGGGTGTTAAAAGACAATACAGTAAACTATATTACAATATTTTAGAGCCTTTCTACACAATAACAGAACAGCACAAAAATTGCAGTCCTAGCCTTCTGCTATATGCTCCTGAATGCTAATCTACTGTAATGTTTTGCTATCCCATTTGAATTTCTGTTACTTCAAATCTATACCTGATATTCCAGTTTCTATTTCTGCTTTGTTGCTGGCATTAGGTTTCTTGGGGACAGATGTGCCTTAACAATTTAGGTGCAAATGTGTCATAGGGAGTATCTAGGATCCAAAACATTTTGAAGAGTAGGACAGAGAAGTGCCTAAACATTACTTAGCAATCCCCACTTGTAAGAAGGAGGAATGGAAGAGGGTTACCACAGTCATTTTCTGTATTCTAATATAGATTGCATGTATTGTGCTAAGTCATGGTTTGTTTAATCATGATTTATTGGATAAATCACAAATGGCTAGGTTCATACAATAAAGTAAGATGTAACCAAATGAGACAAATGATAATTTAGTATGATTCTTTAACCCTGCTTTGGGGTGCTTAACCTGAGCAGAAGAATTAGAATAAGACTAACTGTCCAAGTGTGAAGAGTGTTGAACAGCAGAAAGAAAAGTTTTCTATTGAAAGTGTACCTTTGACATATGGTGAGGGGGAGCATTAGTTCCTCCATGGATAACAGGCATTTCTCCTCTATCCCCAGAGGGTCTCTCTGACATTTAGAATTTTCATTTTCCATTTTCCATGGTTCTCAAGAATTCAGAGAAAGTATGCAATAAAAAGCTTTTCTTTCTGCCGTTCAACACTCTCCACACTTGAATCACAAACAGTAGAGACCATAGATGGGTGGAACAATTAGTCTTATTCTAATCCCCAAAGGCAGGCTAGAGGGATATAACATTAAGCTGTAGGGTATCTATATTTCTTACAAGCTCAAAACATTTTGCGACAAATGCTTGTTCACTTCTTTGTTGGACAGATGCAACATAGTTATGTTAACTGCTTAGGTGGTAAGATCTGTGGCTCCCTGATGGCTGTGTATGTTTTAGTCACGCACATTGCCTAATGTGATATGGTTAGTTACTGCAAGATTTCTCATTATCACACACTTAATATTTTCTTGAGTAAAATCTATCAGCAACTCCAAAGGTATTTTTCTTTGATATCTATGTGATATAAATATTTATTGGTCAGTTAAACTATTGTTATAGATGTGAAGTGGGACTATGTGATCTCTCAAGGATTTTCTTAGTTGTTGAGAACAAATGTTTTCTCTGAATAAAGTCATCTAGATGGATGTCCTAATTTAAAGTAATACCTCTTAAAAGCTAACACTCCTGATTATGTTAAGTCAATGATACTCATGGTTATGTTTCAATGGTTAGAAAAGACCAGTGTGGTGTAGCGGTGAAAATGTTGGACTGGCAACACATTCAAGTTGTTCCTCAGCCATGAAAGTTCACTGGTTGACTTTGCACCAGTCTCTCACTCTCAACCCAACTTATCACACAGGATTGTTGTTATGGAGATACAGAAATGACAACTGATGGCCAAAAACACCTGAGTGATGAACTGGCAATAGGAGCTGGAACGGCCAATGAGAGGTGGAGATTAATCTTTCCTTCCCTTTCCATGAAACGTATTAATAAGGTCTGTCTACAATTGGAACTAGAAACGTGTTCTGAAGTTAGAAAAGGAAGGTAAGAAACTGGTCTCTGCAGAACCATACTAGTTCTTCTAAAATGTAATGGATGGAGAATAGAATGTTTTGGAATATTTATAATTCCACAGATGTGTCAAAGATCTCCAGTTACTTTCTTCCAAGGAAAATGAACTCTGGGTAAGTGCTAGCATCTCCGAAAATTGTCACAGCTAGAAGTGGTACATGGCACATCACAGTCTTGCTTGGCTTCTTTAAAATTATACCCTATTTGAAAAGCACTCTCTTTAAAGAAAAGTACGTTGTATTTTATGTTCTCCCAGCAAATATTTTCCAGTTTATGTTCCATAGTGTCATCTTTTCTTTTCAGGCATTAGGAAGACCTCCCTAGCCTTGAAAAAGGAAAACCAAGACAATATTTAAAATTCCCCCCAAAACACTGCATAAAGAAGAAATCCATTGTATTAGAAGGCACTACCTATCTGGGAGCTAAGAGAGACCCTTGGAATCCTGAAGATCAACATTCCATTGCTAGCTGAGGAATATACTTTGTACAGTTGGGGGTAGAAAAGCCATTTTAGTTGCCTGCGATCCTAACCATTTCCCTGCCAATCATTTCAGCACCAATAGCCCTCTAAAATGGTACAGCTGTGCTTTTCCCTTTTTATAGGAATATTAGCCATAAACATGTTTTTAGCATTTGGGCGGGATCAAAGGGCTTTATATTTAACATTCCAGTACATCTTACAATAGTCTCAGAAGGCAGGCCCATGTTTTCCCCCTAGGGCTGGGAGATGAGCAACAGTGGCTTATCCATCATTATCTAACACATTTGTGGTTAAAAATTCCTTCCTGCTAATGTACCACGCAGTCTCTTTAAGAATAAGTCAGCCTTCTAAATGCTTCCATGAGATGAACAGCTTCTCCAGCTGGATTTTTTAGGAAACCTGCTAAGAAAAAATGTGGCAATCCTAGACCTATCTATCCATTTATTATTTATTATATTTGTACCCCACCTTTCTTGAGGAAACATGAGGGTGCCTGCACAGAATCTCCCCAAATTTTATTTCCCCCTCATTGGACTGAGAGTAAATGGCCCAAAGTCACCCACTGAACTGTCAACTGGGAGTTTCACTTTGGGTCTCCCTGATCTCACCCCAATGTCCTGAACAATGTGTATTCTTACCCTGCTGGTTGTCTCCTATCACTTTATGTATACTAGGCCACTCTGCTGCAAATACTCCATTTGGGGTCTAGGTCTAAGGCAGTGCTACACCTGTAGTTTAAAAATCTGTGTTTATTCAAACCTTTGAGATGTCAACAAATAGAAAATCTGACAATAACAAAGAAAAAAGTTCGACACAACTGAACATAATCATGAACAAAAGTGGAATGTTTCAGTACACTGCTGTTTAGTACAGAAACTTTAAGATGGCCCCATGGTGTCCTTTCCTACTGCATTTAGCAAGCTGAACTGAGAGATAGAAGGGAGGAAAGCCAGTGCAGAGGTTTGGGGCCCAGGTCTTTCACGATCCTTGTGTGACTCTTCTCACAGATCAGGACTAAGGCAACTACCTAAGTGGGTAGTTATGCATTTTACCCGTCAAGGCAGAGCAGCAAATGCCATCTATCCTCATGGCAGGTTGTGGTCATGGGGTGCCCAAAGCAGAGCCCAAGGGGCCCTTCAGCCCACAAAGTGAGGGTTAGCTCTGGCAAGAAGCAAACCAGCCGAGACTAGATGGGCCCAGTGTAAGAACAAGGCTCCTCCCACTCATGAGGATAAGGCCCTCGGTTGTGCCTCCTGGGCAGGAGAAAAAGGCACATGAAATTAGCCTGCTGTTATAAATAGGCTTTGTGTGTTACATGACCCTGGCTGGATTTCTTCTTAATGGCTTCCTTAGTACTTGCAATGAACATGCTCATTAGAAAGTTGTGCCCCATAAGAAGCCTGATAGCCCATCCACTTTGCCTAAAGATCAGGCCCTGCCTGACCCTCTCCCAAATTAGTATGCCTAAAACCAAACACTGTTCCAGTTATTTGGCAGCTGGGCTACAAAATCTTGTAAGTGCATGTCCGGTTCCATGGCAGTAACAGTGCAAAATTACTCATTTGGTGCCCTTGCTTGCCAGTCAGATTCAGCTGTCTCAGGAAGCTGTCTCTGGCAGAGCCAGGGGCAGCCGTGGTTCAGGGATGCTGCCTTTGCTCAGGAGTAGAAGAAAGGGCAGCTGCTGACTTAGCAGTGCAAATAATGGAGAAAGAGTAAAGGCTGAGATTCAAACGTAGTAATAAAAGGAAAATCTATTTTCACCGTCTTTGGCTCAACATTTCTTTCAAGTGAATCAACTGACAGGTTGCCTTCGAAGCTCTCTAGTTTAGATTTTCCCGCTCTACATTGGAAAGGTTTATGATTCTGCAAAAAGCAGAAGTAAATAAAGTTTTCAAAGGATTTTTAACTTCAGAAAAAGGCCAAAATGCAAGCATATAGTGCAGAAACATACGCATTGGCCCTAAGTCTCATGGAAAACAACATAACAATACATGTAGTTAAAAACACTAATTTTGGTGGTGATTGAACTTTTTATTTTTTTTTCTTTCTTTTCGCTGTGTGACCAATCAGGGAAATATTATCTGTATAAACCCTGAATAAGCCTTCAGTCCCATAAACAGTGTTACTTTGTGACATCTTGTATCATGTGTTTCTACCACACAGTGGTGCTAGTTGGAATTTGTAAACCATTCATTAGGACAATGATGGCAAAACTTTTGGGCTCAGTGGGTCAAACATTTGGAAAATACCTAACTCGACTCTGCTGGTGTGTCACCTCACCCCGCCCCCCCGAACAAAAGAGAACAATTCTTTACATGTTAATTTACTTAAAAAAAAATACAGTCCAATCATCTGTGGTGCTATGTATTATATAAAGAAACATCAAATAATTACAAAAGCGAAATATAAGTAAAACAAACTCAGTTTCTTTGGTAACTCAAACAGGGAGAATAGTTGTTGTCGGGTGTTGGTGAACGCTGGCATGTCACCCAAAACTTTGTGGCATGTCACCTTTGACACGCATGTCATAGGTTCGCCATCACTGCATTAGGATAACAGATTCTTTCTCAGGGTTTTGCTCAGTGCATCTTTTAATTCTCTGTTCCTCATGCTATAGATCAGGGGGTTTAATACAGGTGTGACAAAGGTATAGAACACAGACACCACCTGACCTTCCTCCGCTGAGTAGCTGGAACTAGGGCGCAGGTATATTAAGCTGCCACAGCTGTACTGCAAAAGGACAACCATCAAGTGAGAGGAACAAGTGGAGAAAGCCCGTTGCCGCCCTGAGATGGAGCAAATTTGTAGGATGGCCTTCACAATGAAGGCGTAAGAGATGCAGACTAGGAGAAATGGGACAGTCAGGATGACAACACTGATGATGAAGAGTGTAGCTTGATGGGCATGTGTATCCCCACAGGCTAGTTTGAGGACAGCCGGGAAGTCACAGAAGAAGTGGTTGATCTCATGGTTGCCACAGAAGGGGAGGCGCAATATCAGGATAGAGAGCTGCATGCCAAACAAGCAACTCATGGTCAAGGTCCCAGCTACAAGGACAGTGCACATCTTCCAGCTCATAATGGCAGAGTAGCGCAGAGGGTGACAGATGGCCACAAAGCGGTCATAAGCCATGACAGACAGCAAGATACAGTCACCGCCCCCCAAGAAGATAAAGAAAAACATCTGGGTGCCACACCCTGCCAAGGAGATAAAGGCTTTCTCTGTAGAGAGGAGGTTGGCCAGGGTAAGAGGAGCAATGACGCAAGAGTAGGCAATCTCCAGCACAGCCAAGTTAGCCAAGAAAAAATACATGGGTATGTGGAGGGAGCGTTCATTGTGCACAATGAGTACAACAGCAGAATTCCCCAAAAGACTGAGTAGGAACAAAGCCAGAAAAACCCCAAAAATCAACAATCGCACCTCTGGGAGGGTTGAAAAGGGATGAAAGAAGAAGTGGGTCGGTCTGGTGTGGTTTCCACTTTCCATGTAGGTTGCACAATATGATCTGGAGCAAGATAAAAAGGGAGAAGACCAATCACAAAGATGCAGATCTTCATTTTTCAACAGGGTGCATCAACCCCAAGCTGTCAATAGAGAGGGCAGAATCCTCCCCCCCCGCTTTTTTTTTTTTTTGCAAATGAAGTCAATAGCATATACTTTAATTGAATGCCATAGCTAAAGCATCTGAGATGAGGCTTTGGCAAATTAATGTGAATCCAAAAACTGAACATTGTTAATTTTATTACTGAAGGAGCTTCTTATGGATTGCTCTTGCCACATTTTTACTTCTGTTTTTGGCAACTTTTTGTGTTTAAGTGTATCCAGACTGCTTCTTTTCCAAACCTGTTCTATTTCTACACCTTTCTCTTCTCACTTTAATTAAAATGCAGGTTCCCTTGGAAGTACATTTCACTGAAATCAGTGGAACCTTTACTGTATAAACAATGTCTGGAACAAGTTGTTCTATTCTGTGTTGCACTTTCCACATACTATATAATACATGTTAGATCAGTGTTTCTCATCCTTAGCTACTTGAAGATGTGTGGACTTCAACTTCCAGAATTCCCCAGCCAGCATGGGCTGGTTGGGGAATTCTGGGAGTTGAAGTCCACACATCTTCAAGTAGCTAAGGATGAGAAACACTGATCTAACATGTATTATATAGTATGTGGAAAGTGCAACACAGAATAGAACAACTTGTTCCAGACATTGTTTATACAGTAAAGGTTCCACTGATTTCAGTGAAATGTACTTCCAAGGGAACCTGCAT